GAAGGGGGACGGAGACGCACGAGTGAACCCCGCTTAGCCAGCCAGCAGCCGGAGCGTATCGTGGGAAGCTCGCGGGCCGAACAGTTCCCACAGATCGGGGGCCTGTTCGGGCCCGGCACAGGTTCCGTACGAGTGTGTGTGCTCGAACGAGTGGCGCAGGGGGCCCCCTTCGCTGGTGTCGGCGCGCGGGAGAGGACCTTTTCGTGCACACCTGCACGAAACCAGAATGGGGATCGCGATGCTGCTCCCGCTGCCGAAGCGGCTACTATCCCTGCCTACTCCCTTCGGATGTAGCGGACAGATAGAGCGGGGCGAAGGGAACACACGGGAAAAAAGAAGCGGCCAGCACACGCCATGACGCGCGACCAGCACGAGGACGACCCGCGCAATACGCGACGAGACGCGCGCGTTACACTCTCTTCCGCTTCGTCTCTTTTAAACACCTCTGGGAGATTCTTCTGCGTTTTCACACCGGTTCTTTCATGATTTTATGGCAATTATTTTTTTTCGTTCTTTTAATTAGTGTTTCGCTTTTTATTTAGGGGGTAACAGGGATTTATTGCATTGTTATATTTTTCTGGAGTTTCACGTTTTAGAAGACTGGGGGATTATATTGTTGAGTGTTCTGGTTAGGATTTGATTAATTATTTTGAGAATGATAATTTTGATTTAATTAACATTTCCGGTGTTTGAGTCTTAAAGGGAGAGTTGCAGGGAGAGTTTTCATAATATTTTTTCAACCGGATCTACCGCCTATATGCTGAAAATTTATTTTCTTATCCAATTTCAAATACTTGTAACCTCTTGAAAATATGAAAAATAAATATAACAATCTACTGTGACTGTATTTGGAAATATTTGTCAAAAAATACCTAATGCGGTTTTCAACTGTTGTTCCGTTTAGTATGTTAACTCCTTGTACTATATTTGACTGGTGCGTCAAAATGAAATAATCATAGTAACAGTATTAAAATAGAGAAAGAAAGTTAAAATGTTGTGACAATTTGATATGATACAATCACTGACTATGCAGAGTGGATTTGAACTCCTAATAGAAGCTTTTTGAAAATTTGAGTAAAGTTGAACACAGCTGACGCACTTGTGCGTCACGAGTCAGACTCGTTACAATAGGAGAGAGGGTTAAAAATGCAAGCCTCCACATTCTCAGAAATATAATAGTTAGAAGTCTTAATAGAACACTATTAAGGAGTATAATGAAGTAGTATACTTACATTACTAAATAATGTAATGACGTAGTGTAAGCAAGTAGTAAGGAAGTTTATACTAATAAATACTGTAAGGAAGTAGTGTAATTACAGTAGTAAATAGTGTAATGAAGTAGTGTACTTACACTAATAAATAGTGTAATGATGAAGCATTGTAAGTACACTACTAAATAGTGCAATAAAGTAGTGTAAATAAATAGTGTGATTACAGTATTAAATAGTGTAATAAAGTAGTGTAATCATGCTACTAAATATTGTAATTAAATAGTGTAATAAAGTAGTGTAATGACACTACTCAATACTGTAATAGTGTACTTACAATACCAAATGATGTAATAAAATAATGTGCTTACACTACTAAATAGTGTAACAGAGTAGTGTAATTTTACTTCTAAATAGTGTAATAAAGTAGTGTATTTATACTACTAAATAGTGTAATGAAGCAATGTACTTACACTACTAAATAGTGTGATGAAGTAGTGCATATTTAAATAGTGTAATAGAGTAGTGTAATTGCAGGACTAAATAGCGTAATAAACTAGTGTACCTACACTACCAAAAATTGTGATAAAGCAGTGTACTTGCACTACCAAATAGTGTAATCAAATAATGTACTTACACTACTAAATAGTGTGACGAAGAAGTATATTTACACTGCTAAATAGTGTAATAGTGTAGTGTAATTGCAAGACTAAATAGTGTAATAAAGTAGTGTACCTACACTACCAACAATTGTAATAAAGCAGTGTACTTACACTACCAAATAGTGTAATAAAATAATGTACTTACACTACTAAATAGTGTAACAGAGTAGTGTAATTATACTTCTAAATAGTGTAATAAAGTAGTGTATTTATACTACTAAATAGTGTAATAAAGCAGTGTACTTACACTACCAAATAGTGTAATAAAATAATGTACTTACACTACTAAATAGTGTAACAGAGTAGTGTAATTATACTTCTAAATAGTGTAATAAAGTAGTGTATTTATACTACTAAATAGTATAATAAAGCAGTGTACTTACACTACTAAATAGTGTGATGAAGTAGTGTATTTACACTACTAAATAGTGTAATGAAGCAATATACTTACACTACTAAATAGTGTGATGAAGTAGTGTATTTACACTACTAAATAGTGTAATAGAGTAGTGTAATTGCAGGACTAAATAGTGTAATAAAGTAGTGTACCTACACTACCAAAAACTGTAATAAAGCAGTGTACTTACACTACCAAATAGTGTAAAATAGTGTAGAGTAGTGTACTTTACTAAATAGTGTAATAAAGTAGTGTAGTTACACCCCGAAATACTTCAATAAAATAGTATAATTACACTATTAACTAGTGTAATTACTATTAACTAATTAAATAGTATAACTATGACTAAATACTCACAAATATAACTAAACAGTAACTATACTAACCATTAATATGTCTTAATCGAAATTTTGAAATTGACCACCATTTTGAGATCACGAATAAAACATGTCGTCTCATTCTCTCGAGAGAAACTCGTGAAACGCATTTTTTCCGCGTGCTGAATCTGATAATTGAACGGCCGTAGTGACACGAGCGCGTGTCACACGCGACCGTCATCCTCGTTCGCAACGATTTTTACGGACTATCGCGGAAAAAAAATTGATCGTTCATAAAGCAGTTGCATTAAAATTGTAAACCGTGTATAAACAAGTTAATGAATCCTTGTACGTGGACAGTACGCAAATTGATTGGAGCGCAGAAAAATAATGGGCAATTTTTCGTGACTTTCACGAAAACGCTTTCGCCAACGAAGTTAATTAAAAAATTTTCATATCATCGTTACGTATCGTAGCATGGGACACTTTCCTTCGAATGCGTCCACAATAATTAACTCGTCGAATAGCTTATCGATCGACGCGAACAGATACGAAGGTTGATAAATACGAGATCTTTATAATTTATATCTTGCCTGGAGCGGGTGAGCGCTGCGAGATAATTACGCCAGTCAATGGAATGCTTTTATAGTGTCGCACGAAAATCTTGGAACTGAAGGTCTTTAGATCTCTGAGTTATTAGGTTGTATCCAGATTTTTGGATTTTCAGGTTTCTTTGCTTTGGGTTGGAGATCTTTTGATTTTTGAATTTTTAGGTTTCTATATTTCACAATCCCTGGATGATTAGGTTTCTATGTATGCAGATATTTGGATTTTTGCATTTTTACATTTTTAGATACCTAGGTTTTTATAGTTCTATATTTCCAGGTACCTGGGTTACTAGATTTCTATATCCAGATTTTTAGATTATTAGATTTCTATACATGAAAGTCTTTACATTTTTAGATTTTTATATTTTGAAAAAATTTTGAGGAATTTAAGAATGTGAGAACTTGAGAAAATTGTAAGAGTTTAAGATTTTTTAACAGTTTAAGAATTTGAT